GCATGGATGCGTCGCTTTAATATCGACTGAAGGAGAAGCAACAAGAGAAGGCGGTGGCCGAGTTGGCTCATAGGCACCACGAGATTCCAATGCACTTTGAAAAATTGAGTTCAGAATTCAAGAGCCTGGTTAAATATCTAGTCGCTTTTATTCCACTGCTTATTCATTTTTAGCACCAGTTGCACTTTGTCCAAAGGAGCCATGGCCATTTTTTTCCCCGAATATATATGCCATCCTGATTTCCCCTTTTAATCAGATAATTGGGGATTTGTTATACCAAGCCACCTGGCAACTCGCTGTTTCAACATAAAATCAAATGTATTTATTAATGTATCATACTTTCATTCTCCTTGTAGTATTTTTTTTTTCATTTATCAGTAAAGTATGTCATATGTAAATAAGAAAGTTGGTCCCCACCATGTTTTTGGCGGCGTATGCTTACAACTTCTTCCACGATTTATTTCCCCATTACACTCGTTCTTTAAGAACAGACTAAATATACAAACATACACCACACAAGTTAGTGGGTGACGATTTCATTAAAATTTCTTCTTAACAAGAATTCAGTTTTTCGGTTGCCTTTAGGGTTGTCAACAATGTTCATGTAAAAGAGGGAACACTCGATAAGCATCAACAACAACAAAAACCAACACATTTCTTTTTATGAATATTTAACTTAGACCAACATAAGCCCTATTTATTTCTTCTCCGTTTGTGATTCAAGTGAAATGATTCATTAAAAAGATTAATCCAGTTGCTAAAGTAGAAAAAAAAATACTCTAACCCGTGGTGTAGCCAAAATCCCAGTTTTGTGGGTCCTTTTTACTGAAAAATCGATTGCCGGCAAAACCATGTGTGTCTGTGTATGAACAACGCTAGCGGCTATACCGTTTCGCCGATTATCTCCAAACTTGATACTCTCCGACCGATGTCGCAGCCCCTTGATTTTGAAATCGATATATTCATTTTGGGTGGTACCGTCCATGAAGCTCCTGGGACATTTTCAAAACGTTCAAAGTATGGGTGAAACGTTTTTAATTAAATTTTGATGTTGGATAGTTGTTGGACGTTCTAAAGAATGGTGCAGAACTCATTTTCATTTAAAATTCAATTGAAAAGATTTTAAAAAACTGTCGGCAACTAAAATTTGAAAGATAGAGATGCTTTCCTTTAATATTATCTGTTCCTTAAGACATATTTTGAAATAAGCGCATGTACAAATTTTCCAAAATTTGAGTATTTTTCGAGTTATTTTTTGTGAAATATAGGCAATTTTTAATTTTGTTTAAACAATTTTTTCTCAAAACCGGCCCAATAATTTCTGATGAAATGTTGTAGGTCCGAAGGACGTTTAATATAATGGTGTATGTCTCATCTTGGTTGAAAATCCTAATTTTTCAAATATTGAAAACATTTAAAATTGTTTCGTCGCCTTCCTACAATTACAATTATGTAGATTCAGATTTTCCCCTTAATGAAATCTGTACGTTTAAAAGAGATTTTGAAATAAGGTAAAGTATAAATTTTCCAAAATTTGAAATCACGTAAGTTTTCCGGCGAGAAAGTACGTGTTGCTTGAACACTGGTTATTTTTCGTTTCTAGACCGACACTATGTCGCATGCGTGTATCAGCGTTCAGAAAAAAGATATTCATGTTTTCTATTCTACATTAAGAAATAAACGATGCAACCAAGCAGATGTTAGTCATATGATAAAATAAATAACAAAAAAAGTTGAAAATTTAAAAAGAGGAGGACATTTTAAATTCAAAGGAAGACGAGAGGACTATTGATGCCATTCGTGGACTGTGCTCCCAAATGGAGGACGGCTCTGTTGGCCTACAACATAGATATAATTATATGAGTCGTTATTGCCAACAATATTATTTATTAAAATAGCAGCTTTCCATGGCTTAGCCATCATCACAATAAGAATAATAGTGTTGGCAATGACGCCTCATATAATTATTGCATTGAAAATGCCAACGAAAACTCACCACAATACCAACTGCAACATAGAGCTAATCTGTAACTAATTTGCTGCGCGAAGTGTAACTTCATTTTAGAATGCAAACTACGAATACCTGCAGCGCTGCAAGTCATTAATGCCGCATCCTGTTGTGTAATGACGCTCGTGAAATCGACGTCCGAGAGGCCATTTGCCATTCAACTTTGTTATGATTCATGAACTTCCGATACGTGATACGAAATGGGTGTAAAGATCAATAGCTTTTTATCTCTTCAAGGCCACCGGAAAATGGATGCGATAAGATCACATTATGATTGGCTTAGAAAACTAAGATAATTTTGAGATAAATATTTAAGCCAACGGACCGTCTGTTTGCAATTAAAAAGAAATCAGGTCTAATCCATGGTCCACCCTTTCAAAATGAGTTCAACAGAAATTTTAATATTTTTACCACTAAACCACTACAACGTCAATCGTCAACGTGTCACAAAAGTCATTTTGCAGGAAAATGATTTTACCTATATCATCAACGGATCCGCTTGTTTTGCGACCCAATCTAAATTAGTCGTCCTATGAACTGTAAGAAATGTTTACAAGTAAAAAGATTATTTATAAACATATTTCTTTCCTTAACCGATAGGAGATATTTACATTAAGTGTCACTCTAACCCTGGTGGGTCAGAATATTTAAAATATTTTGCTTCTCTACGATAAAAGTTAGAAGTTACATTTCCATTAAACAATTAGGGGCCCAAAAGAGGGGGAAATGTGAAAAATGTGATTCTGATAAAACGTATATATTATATATATAATAGAAAAGACAATAAAACCATTTTGCTTATTCACTTGTTCTGTAAATTCTTCTTTCTACAATAGGCAAGATATTTTAAAGCCAGAGTGGGAAGAATACTGATAATACTGATAAATAACCATTTGATTTATGTCGAACAGTTTTCTTACAGCGTTGCCAGATGATTTGGAGAGCCTCTCCTCCAAATAGCGTACAACAATTTCCCGAATTATCAGATTAAAAAAGGATAAAAAAAAACGAATTGGACTTATTTACGGAAATAAATATTCCAAAATTTGAGTATTTTTCGAGTTATTTTTTGTGAAATATAGGCAATTTTTAATTTCGTTTAATTTTTTTCTTCTCAAAACCGGTCCAATCATTTGATTCATTACAACTGGCCCTCCTGTGCGCACACCTCTGTCTACATTTTGTGATGAAATTTTGTTAGTGGATAGTCTAAAGAACATTTATAGGTCTCGTGTAGGTTAAGACCCCTGATGTTTAAAAAATTGAAAAAAGTTAAAAATGTTTTCGACGTCTTCCTACAACTACAATTATGAATATATATTTTTTCTTAGTGAAATGTGTTCATCAATAACATCTTCAAATAAGATCACGTTCAATTTTTTCAAAAACATGACAATTTTTTGTCAAACACAGGTCATTTTTATTTTCTTTAAACTATTTTTTCTTAAAAACCGAACATTTTTTTTATTAAATTGGGATCTTAAATAGTATAAAGGCACTTAAGAGAATGGTGCAGGTATCATTTTAGTTAAAATGTCTGAGTTTGCGAAAATTAAAAAAAAATTAAAAACATTTCCTACAACTACTATTGTGAAGATACATTTTTTTCTTGATGAAATGTGTTCATTAAAAAACAGATCTTCGAAAAAGATTACGTTTTTTTAAATGATTATTTTTGTTTGTTTGTGTAATGTTACTACAAAGTGTCCCAATGCGAATTTACTGGGCATCTTGAACATAAGTTGAGAAGTGTTTGAAAGCCATTACTACTTTGATAAAAGAAAGTAGTGTAATGGAATCGTCCATGAAACATACCACAATCAGCTATCTTTACTTCAAGAAATTTTGATCTCTGATTGTGAAATGATTTAGATTTAGATTTATTCAGTCAAAAAAAAGTAAAAACTGTATGTGACGTAGGGGGAAAAAGATTATCTGTGCACGTTTTCTTGAATTCCAGAATCCCTTCCCGTCATTTTAAGTACAAATAGTTGAAAGATGAGTAAAAGTTTAATATAAATAAATAAAAATAAATTTTAAAAATCGCATGTATAGCAATATTTGAAAACTAGTCATTTTCGTTTACGAGTTATAGAAAACTCATCGGTACACGTACTGCAAGTATGTTTTTTTCTGCATTGCTATCAAAATAGCAACTCGCGCTTACCTCTACTCTTATCATTACAAGCAAAAGGAGAGTTCAACAAAATGTGCGCAACTACATAAGCAAAACAAGGGGCCATTTCAACTTCGTTTCTGAAAGTTAAAAGTGTCTACTGTTTCTGGCTATCAAAATAAATGTAGGTTTTACACCACAAGCACTTCCTTTAAATTGGTTGAATTTCACTTTAAGTTAAAATTAAATCAGCATGAGATGAAAGGAAACAGGTCAAAAATGCAATTTTTTAAAATTTTTATTTTGGGAAGTTGTTCTTTAAGGAAAGTCAAATTGTATTATGAAGAAATGAATCATGTCATAACAGTGCTGAAAGTGGATTATATTGGCATTATTTCTAATATTTTAGATAAAATAATAATTTTAAAAATGTGAAAAATCCTTTAACTTTAACATTTGTGAAATATTGATTGACTGATGTGATGGTCATTCCGGGTAGGTCAACTGCTATGGTCATTAGTCACGTTCGTGTAGGGAATGTTTTCTCGCGGGAGATGGCGGTGTTCCTCTCCCATAACATACAGCGCCGCCCTCCCACCGTGGTAGTGTAGAGCATGTCAATGTGTGTGTGTGTGTGTGTGTAGATGTGTGTGTGGGTGTGTTCGGACTACACAGATTGCACAACATTGTTCCCTATTGTAGATTCGCTCGATCGTATCTTCGCCAAGTAACTACATGGCGGGCCGCTAGGAGTGCTGCCAGCGCGGTGGCGGCTGTCATTCCCACGTGCCAAGGCGTGCCGTTTAAGTGTGCTGACGACGCGGAGCTCGTCGACACAGCTCCGTCCTCTCTGCTTTGCACGGTGTCGACTTTCGGCATGGCATCTACCGAAAGAGAATCTTCGCAACCTGATTCAACTGCAGGTGACTGATTTTTTGAACAATGTATTTATTCTTACAAGCGTTCATGCGTAAGCTAAATCGTTTTCATGAAGAATGACTTTGTGTGTGTGTGTGTATGTGCGTGTGTGTGTGCGTGTGTGTGTGTGTGTTTGACAGTGGCAGCTCCGTTGGGTAGGTCAGGTAGGCACTACCTAGCCTGATGAATATGTACGATCATAATACATGCAAAACTGTTTTCACAAAGAAAAATGATTTTCCACTCCGAGACTCGAAATCAGTTTCTCTGAGTTAAGTCGACATCAGCCGTATCACTACACTGTAGAAACACCACAAGGTACCATCTCGGGCCGACGCTTAAAATGTAATTTCTCAACCCAATATTTCCAACAGGCAATTAATGCCATTTTCGAAAATATGGAGAATTTGCATAAAATTGAACCATCACTATAATTTTTACCGTCCGTTGTCACTTACGAGGAGAAAATTCAATAAAAAAACTAGAGACAAAACTGTTTTGAAAGAACAATTGTTTTAGAAATTACATAAATTTCATGCACAAATTACGTAAATCTACTAGTTAAAAAAATATAAATGTCCTTTTTTTAAAGAGTAGACTTTTGAGAACCGACTTCGTTTCAAGCAAAAATTTCTTTCTTTAATTTCATAGTTTTGAAATGTTAACTTTTTGTAATTTTCGAAAATACTGTAAGTTCCCCGAAAATGGGACTAGCACCATTTTTTTACTGTGCATAAAAACATATGGAGAATTGAGACTTGAAATACTTTTTAAGAAACAATTGTTTTAAAAAAATTAAATTTTTCTATTTTTACTCCAAAGTTAGAACTAAATTACCCACATTATCGAAAAATTTTACGTCAAGTTCAATATTTCGAAAATGTGAGTAGTTTTTCCCTGGTATGTATAAATGGATGATAAAACAGTACACATAGTCTGTTGTAAATAATCATATCTTTAATAAAGGCCCTTTTTAATTTTTTTGTAGATACTGTTAGTTTTCACGAACTTTGTGCTCGATATTAACGCGATTTATAAAAAAACATTTTCTTCATTCAAACCTTTTTTCCACTGTTAGAAGGGACAAATTTAAAAAGAATGCGAGAAAGTATGTTAATAATAATAGCGGACAAAATGTCTTAAATAAAGACGTATATAGTAAACGGAGTCTTTCAACGATCACTACTGAGAAGGAACTCGAGAAACACCTAAGCTTTAAAATGTTTATGTAAGTAATACTTGCATAAGCGTTTGTTCGTTGATACGGTCGATAAACAAGAAAGATTTTCTACTTTCATTGTTTTAGATGACTGGGGCAATTCGGAATTCTTGTCTTCCATGAATTTATGTGATGAACCGGATAAAGCTTGCAAACATGAACGGAAACAGGTGAGTGACTTATCAACACAAAAATTACGAGGTATTGATAGAATATAATTGCTGTCCTTTTCTTAACGTGGTTTCACATTCAACTAGTCTTTCTGCATGATTTCAAAACAACGTTAATTTTATATGTTTATAAAGTTATTTATAAGATTATTATTTCATGATATAAAATCCTGTACATTGTGTGTACAATTTTGTCTGTTTAATTGTTTAACTGAAATGACAGATCGTCCAAAACAATTACGATGTGACTTTCAGTAAAAGATTGTTTTCAAAGGCATAATTAAGCCTCTTTCATTCATTCTCTTTTTATTATCATGTATAAATATGAAAATTATATTTGAGTATAATTTTCATACTCTTACAGCTTAAGTATCCTGCATTGTGCGTTATTTTGTCAATCACAATATATTAGAACTAATTACACATTCCCTTTTACATTCATGCACTTCTTCGTATGTGGTTTGTAATCGTGCGCCAGAAAACCGCGAATTTTGGTACAAAAAACCTTTTTGCCGGGTCCTAGTAACAAAAAGGTGGATAAATATTGTTCTTATATACAGTAAAAGACTTCCGCTAGGACGTTTTGAGTTACATTGTATATTGTGTCCGAAATTTTGTTCGTTGTCCTTGAATCCCAAAAACTGATGACGCAAGACGTTTGTCTGTCCGTGTGTGGTCAACGCTAGCGCCTAAACTGTTCAGCTGATTTTCTCCAAAAATTTATATTCCTCTATCGATTTGAATTAACTCTAAGACCTATGAGTATGAAACGGATATTTGGGGGGGGGGTATTTAAAGGAAGTTAACATTTCCAATTTTTTCTAAAAAATCGCTAAACTAAAGAACTTTTGGAATGACGCAGGTCTCGTTGTTGAAATCTCTGAGTTTTTGAAATTTTCACAATGATCACACTTTTTCAGCGTCTTCCAACAACTACAATATTGAAAATACTTATATTTTTCTTATTAAATATGTTCTTTAAAGTCAGATCTTGAAATACGTTAATGTACAACTTTTCGAAAATATGAGTAGTTTTCTCGTAATTTTGTGTAAAATATAAGCAATTTCTAACCTTTTTTCTCAAAATCCGCTCCAATTGTTTTCTTTAAATTTTTATCTGGTATGTATCATAGGACGATAAATTAGTGGGGGTCCCATTTTTGTTGAAATTTTGAAAATTGCAGATGATAAACCTGTCAAAATTACGATAAATTATTTTTGCATTAATTTGAATCCGTTCTAAATAATCAGATCTTTGAAAAGCTCATGTGCTACATTTAAATAAAAATGTATTTTCGCGATTTTTGTGTTTGAGTTCAAATGAATAAACTATAATAAATATTATTTACTATTTACAGCTTGTATGCTGTGCCCGAGTGGTGAATTATTAACAAAAATCCTATCGCTAATTCTTAAAATTAGTAATGTACAGAGAACAACAAAGTGAAAGCTCATAAAATTAAGAGAACCAAAAGTGAATAAAACAAAGAATTGTTCACCTAATAAGTGAAAACAAAACGTAATACAATTAATTTTTCTATAATGTTTGTGATAGATACTCTTCAATTTGAATGGCTTACGTAGCTCGGCACCTTCGGAGACAGAAGCCTGTACCTAGTAGTCGGAGGCGTTAGAAGTTCCAATATAGCTGCACCCATACCGTTGTTGCAGGAGCTGGTGACTCACGAGATCCGCACTGTGTGCCGATGTGGTCGAAGATTCATTATCGCACTGCATTAGACAAGAATTCGCGTCCGATGCAGCGCCTTATGATGCTCATGATTCTAATGTGGGAGTGATGACATACAAATGCGCCCGTAAGACATACGTTGATGAGCAGCCTGTAGCCCTAATTAAAGAGTCAAGAAAATTATTTGAACACCATGCAGATTAGTGCATTTTTTGTGTGTTGGCGCCACTGCGGAGGTGCGTGAAGTTCGCACCTCGCTTTCTCAAAAAATCAAATGACGTACACCAAAGTTTTACCAAGTTTACCTTTAAAACATTTTCACCAATTCACACAATGCCGGAAATTGCAAATCAAATTTTGGACTTAAAAGTGACTAGCACACTCAGGAGTGCGAATTTCGACATTTTTAATACATTATCGTTGAGCCCAAGTTTGCCCAACCTTAAAAAAATGTTGTTCAAGACCCACAAAATCAGAAATTGCAAATCAAAATATTGGACTTATACTTACTGTAGCTCTATCAGTTGGCAAATTCAAAATTTCGCACAAACCATTGTTTTGCTCACGATTAGCCCAAGTTGACAGAGCCATTAAAAAGGTTTGCGCGAGTCACACAAATCCGAAGATCGAAAAACAAAATTGTGGAAACTACACTCCACATCTTGTCAATACAAAATCTATTACGCTACGAATTTCATCTGTTCTAAACGTAAATGCTCGCTCTACACATTAATAAACAAATATTTTGTTAATGTCAGGTGTTCATATCATTTTGTTTTACCTCTGTATTTAATAGTGTTAGTGCCGTTGCGGCGTGATGAAGCAATACTGAGTAAGGCAGGGCTAAGCGGAAGTGCCGATTCCCAAAGTAGAACTGAAGTCAGGGTTTACGTTGGAAGACAGAGAGGAGATGATTCTGCAATGAATATCACTGTGAATCTCGCGACGCGTTCTCTTACTTCAAGAACTGTTTTTATGAACACAGTTCATTGAGAAAAAATTGTATCTTCATAATTGTAGAAGTAGGAAGGCGCCAAAAAATGTTTGAATTTTTATAATTTTTGAAAAAATAGGGTTTTTAACCCACATGAGACTTACAAAACAAAGTTTAATTAAAATTGATACGACTTTCTTGAAAATTTTGAAAATGTCCCAGGAGTCGTCATGTAAAGTACTTTCAAAGAGACGAGACATCAGCCATATCGATTATGGAATATCAGTTGTGGAGGAAATCGGCTGAACGGTTTGTTCACTAATGTTATTCCCAGACGGACAAACGTTTTGCCGCCAATCAATTTTTCGGTATCAAGGACCCATAAAAATGAACTCTGACTAAACCCCGTGTCAGAGGATTTTCTAAATTTGGGAACTGGATTAACCACATTTTCGTTACCAGGGCCCTGTAATAAGGATATTTCTGCCGAAAATTCGCCGTTTTCGCGCAGAACTATAAGACTTTCTCTTCTAAAGAAGTATCTTCTTAAGTGCGAGAAAGTAATAATACATATGTGGCCCAATTATCTTGCTTTTGATCACTTATGTATTCTTCCCCACTACGAGAACATTGTCAATTGTTGCAGAGTTGTACACACGACAGGCGCGGGTGGCGACATGCGATCTGCACGGCCGCTCAGAAAGGTGATGTGGCGGATGCGAAGCGACTTCTAGCTACCGAGTGCGCATGCGCTCCCCACGAGGCGGACGCGCGCACAGCCAAGGAGCGAGCGTTGCTGAACGCTTGCGTCTACGGCCACACGGACCTGCTGCGCCTCCTGCTGGCGCACGGCGTCAACGTCGACGCTCAGGTGAACTTCAAATCGCACGCTCTCTAACCCCGCCTGCTCTGCTCTTCTACTTCTCTTTCTTCTTTGCTTCTTCCAAATGACCTTCTAATGGCACACGCTCGTATTTCCCTTCGTCACTCCTTTTTCTGCGTTTTTCTTTTGCTTCTTCCATATGTGTGTCTTCGGACCTTCTACCGGCGCTTCCCTTCTCACGGCGTCGATGTCGACTCTCCCTACGCATCTTCCCTTTTGGCTCTATTCATCTTCTTTCTCGCCTCTTTGCTTCTTTCTATTGACTCTTTCTCAGACCCTCTGTGCCTCCTCCTGACGCAAGGCTTCAATGACGACACTGTGAAGATAATCCCCTCGCACGTTCACCTTCCTTTGACTCTCCACATCAGCTCCTCGTCCTTTTGTTTCTTTCCAGTGAACCTCTTTCGGATACTAATTCATTTCTACAGACGCAAAGGCGTCCACGTCAACACTCCATGATCATCTCCACGTTCGTTCATCTTCTCTTTGTGTGTCTTGTTAACTGCTTTCTCGTCCTTTTGCGTCTTCAAATTGACCCTCACGCGGACGTGTTGCGTCTACCTCTGGACGCTGAGGTGAACATTCATGCACACACACACGCTCCCACCCCTCTTCGAGTCCCCTCTAGTGATCAACCCAAGCGCCTAATTCGTTCAGCCGATTTTCTCCAAAATTGATATTCGTCGATCGATCTGCGTCACATCGCGACCCCTTGAATTTGAAATCTAGTTTTAATTTTTGTAGTACTTTACACGCAGCCTCAAATATCATCTTTTGGATTTTTAATTGCTCAAGAAAGTTATTGACCCCGATGATTCAAGCACGCTTGACTTGTATCACCCAAGCAATTACTGGATCTGGCTGAGCACCTCCGCCATCGACGCGGCGTCACCCGGACCGCCCAGATCATGACTCTGACCGCGGAAGCCTACGACATCAATTACTGGATGTCACGTAATATCTACAGTCTAATCTATGATTAAAGTTTTTTTTTTACTTTTTTTATTTTAAGTAGCTCCGTATATGAAGCATCAACATTTTCAAAAATTTCTCCAAAAATGCTCCAAATTTGTTGATCAAACTTTGTTCTGGGATAACGTAAAAGACGCTTACGACAATTGAGCTAATTTTCTTGAACATCCCTGATTTTCCGAAAAATGCTCAAGTTCCATTTTTTTGTCGTCTTCCTACAATTGCAATAATGAAAATAGAAGTTTTTCCTTGAAGAAAAGTGTTCTGAAAAGATATTCTGAAATAAGCTCATGTGCAATTTTTCACAACGTGATTAGTTTTCGCGTAATTTGGTTAAAATATAAGCTTTTTTTAATTGTCGAAAAACTTTTTTCGTTAAATTTTTCCCTTTTTTGTTTCGAAGAACGGTAAAAAAATAGCTCTAGTATCATTTCCTGCCAACCATTTTTTTTTTCAAAAATTAACAAAATTTAACATTTGGGAATAAAAAATGAGTAAAGAGATTCTTGCCAAAGATTATTTTTTAGCAAATCAATTCTTTAAAATCCTAAGGTACAAGGTTTTAGAAAGAATGTAGTTTTGGAGTAATTTATACTTGAAATTTATGCTAGTAATAAAAACATTTTCTTAAAACCGCTTCATTTTTTTTCCACTGATAGAACAAGGAACATAAAAGAATGGCGCAAATATAAGTTTCGTTGAACTCTGAATTTTTGAAAATGGATATTTAGAAACAATGCAAAAACGTTTTGTGTTGTTGCACCACCAGTAACATCTCGCCTACGTTGTACAACGTTCCATTATATAATATTTTATTTTTCTAAACGTGTTCTATCCATGATTTTTCCGTTTCAACCTGGCACGATGGAATATTGTTATGACATTTGGGGAAAGCGCTCCCTTTCTGGCAACTCTGTGTAAATGGTTCAACATAGAATCAATGAAATGTATTCATTGCATCAAGTACGTCATAATTTCATTTATATAGTAGTAAGTTTTGTGTTTACTAGAAAAATATATCATGTGTAATTTAAAAGGACAAGGGAAAAGGTCGCCCTGATTGGCAGTTCGCCTCATAGTTACGTGACGATACTGAGAAAAAGCATTTTTTAGAAGAGTAAAAAAAATTTCAGGTCCCGTGATATCGGAAATACGCATATTTCTTTCTCTTATTAGCAGTATCTGATTTTCTCATAGTATTTTATATTGACATAAACCAGTTTTTTTATATCTAAAATGTTCTTTTAACTTATGTCCGTTTGTGGACAATCTACACGTTCACATGATTTTATTTTAAATCCGAATTCCTCTACCAATCTGGTAGAATTTAGGTTCCGATAATGTGATCTTATTTTTAACATCAAGTCATTTTCGAAATTGTCTTTTATTTGAAAAAATATATTTTCCTTTAATATTTTCTCCCCAAAGAGGAAAATAATCCAGTTAAAATTGGCCACGATCGAAATTTCATTAAAATAGATATATTTTTTAAAAATTAATCCATATTTTCATATTTTAAAATTGTTGGGCCTCCTCCTAGAATTATATTTAAGATAGGGATATTTTCTTAATGAAATTTCCACTTCAAAATAATTATTTTTTGTAAATGGTGTTGGCTGGATCTTTTTTCGTAAGTGCGAGTAGATAATTTGCGTAATTTTGAGTAAACGAACTTGTAAAATAAGTATTTGTCAAGAACGCTTCCAAAAACACCTCAATTTTTGTGGTGGAATATTGCAAGATTTGCTTAATAAGATAAAAGGGGTTCGATTTACAATGAAGCTTGTGAAATTCAACAAATAGTAATTCTACGACTTTTATATTTTTAAATGATTTCATATACACTTTTTCAAAATACGAAAGTCGTATATTTGCATTCGCGAGGTCGTGACTATTATTTTTTCAAATCTGCTTTTACTCCTTCAATATTTAAGATTTATTTTCTTAAGCCCATGCTTCTCTATTAGATATTAAAATCATTTCAAGATTTTTTTGAAAATTTTAAAAGTAATCGCTTACTTTAATATTAGGTTATTGCTTTTAGATACTCAAGCGATGGCTAAAATGTTTATGGGATAGAAGTTTCTACGTTTCAATATTACGGATCTTTTACCAATAAGACATATACACTTTGCAGATACGTATGTGCAATAAAAGCATATGTTCACAAATTCCCACTAATGAAGAAAAGTATTTTTATCGCTTTTATATGTGCTTTATTAATCATTGGTAAAATTGGAGGTTCCTATATTAATCTTAAAAACCTTATCACAAGCAACGTCGTATTTCCTTCCTTTCAGTTAGAAAACGGAATGACTGGCTTGCTTTACGCAGCCGCACGCAACCGCGTGCAGTGCGTGGAAGTGCTGCTGGATCACGGAGCGGACCTGCACCACGTCGGCCCCTACGGCAGCACGGCGCTGCACTGGGCGGCCGACAAGGGCGCAGCGGAGTGCGTGCGGGTGCTTCTGGAGCGAGGCGCCAACTCTACCTTGCCAGCCTACTACGGGTACACGCCGTTGTACTGCGCAGCAAAAGGATACCCGTTGTTCGATTTGCACCGCCCCTATTCGCAGGTCAGACGAAATCCATCCATCGACTACTTGGAATGCGTGCGAATTTTCTGCCGACATGAATATATTACAAGCGTGCCAGAGAAAGAAAAAAACGACGCTCTGCGCGCAGCTATTGAGAAACGGAATGAAGAAATTACTCAGTTTCTTCTCGATGAAAATATTGCCGATGTTTCATACAAGACGATTGATGGTGAGACTGTCTTGCACGTAGCAGCGCTGTGCGGTAATGTGGAAATTATTCGGGCTCTCCTAAAGGCGGGAGCTGATGTTAACTGTCGAGAAAACAAAGGTAAAACACCCCTACACCTCGTAGGGTCATCTATTTGCGCGCAAGAACTCATTCGTTGGGGCGCAGATGTTCGAGCCCAAGATTTCGACGGCTGGGCTGCGGTGCACGTCTCTGCTTTCTGCGCGAGTGACGATGAGATCCGCGTCCTCGTGGAGGCTGGTGCCGACGTGGGGGTGAAGACGAACGCTGGAGAAGCCACCCTCCATCTTGCTGCGGAAAGGGACAAAGTGGCTTGTGTAACGTTGTTGCTAGACTTGGGCGTGAACGTCAACGTAACGACTGCGGCAGGGAAGACACCGCTGCATTGCGCTGCTCAAGGCTGGAGCATGAGCTGCACGGAGAAGCTGGTTAGCGAAGGAGCGGACGTGTCCGCCAGAGACCTGCAGGGCTGGACGGCGCTGCACTGGGCGGCGCGCGAGGGCTGGACCGACGGCTGCAGGTACCTGCTGGCGCGGGGCCTGGGCCTGCAGGAGCGCACGGCGGCGGGGCAGACGCCGCTGCACGTGGCCGTGCGGGAGGGCAACGCGCGCTGCGTGGAGGAGCTGGTGCGGCTGCGCGCGCCGGTGAACGCGCGGGACGAGCAGGGGCGCACGCCGCTGCACGTGGCGGCGCGTGGCGGCGACGAGCGCGTGGCGCAGGCGCTGCTGCGGGGCGGCGCCGACCGCCGGGCGCGTGACGCGCACGGCCACGCGCCGGCCGACCTGGCGTTGGCGCCCTTCATGGAGCGCCTGCTGCGGCCGTGCCCCGCGCAGGCCGCGTGAAGACGCTAGCGCCGCTTCTCAACACCTGCTTTTCGGATCAGTCATCCCAGCACTGCTTGGATGGGCTGCCCGCCGAGTGGTGCACTAGCACAGCGGTGGGCTGTGGGGCGTGGTCCGCTGCTTGTTATGGCAGGGGACGGGAGGCACTCGGAACCATCCGCTTGTTCGTGCGAAAAGCTTATGCCCCGCTTGCCACTGCAGCCACCGCGAGCAGTCTGGCTTACATTACAAAATTTGAGAAACACTGCTGTGGCCTACTCTCTGAACTTTCTGTCCAACTGATGCCGATCTGAGCTAGGGACCCAGTTGTTACCAGTTCTCATTTCAAGTGTTTCTGTGTAATGATTGTGTAATATTTTCGTAATTAATTTATACAAAATATATCTATATATTAAAAAAATTGGAGCTATTTTTGTAAAATTTTGAATCCTAGAATAGGGAATTTCCAATCCTTTCCTCCCAAATAATTCAATTACTAAAATAGCTCAATATTCTAAAAGAATCCGCCAAATCTATGGGTAAGTCTAGGCCTCGGAAGTATTTGAACGCCTTAGCATTAGACTGTCGCATTATTTAGCGTAAAAATATAATAACCTTAAATGGAATCCGTCCATTTACATTTTACTGAGCAAAAAATATAGAAAAAATAAAACAATTTAAAGTACATTTTCAATTATACGTTGTGTTGAATGATTTCTAAAAATTAGTTTAAAAAAAATTAGTTTTACATTATTTTCATATGTGTAGTTTGGCATAATTTTGCAAATTTAAATTTCTCGTTCTCTACTTGCCAACCTTCAGGAAATATCAGTTTGGAATGTGACAACGTGCCGCTCCGCGGTAGTATTAGTTCTGTGAATTCCGTCTCATTGTGGGGACATGATTTAGCTGTACGAAACGCAGTTTTAATCGTCGAATTTGTGTAATAAAGAGTTTCTTCTGAATTACCTTTTCGATTATAACAAATATAAGGATATTTGTGTCTTATAGATAATTATTTATGAATAAAGTTTGAGGAATATATATCTTCTTTTTAGATATTTTAGAAAACATTTTTTAACTTCGCATTTTCAGGGGTTGAGGTGAACTTTGAGTTAAGTTGTATTGTAACATCGCGTTGTGGCAACGTTGGGGCCAACAGCAGGCGAGCTTTCTCCGAGCTGGCGTCGCTGTAAGAACGCTCTAGGCTGGAGATAAGTTTCCAGGATTGGCCAAAAATAGTTCCCCATACGCATTGGGTTCGCGCGCGGCGCTTCGCCGAGTTACTGTAGCGTCCGCGGAAGACGGCATGTCCAAACGCTGAGGCGTGCGCCAGGACGAAGGCGTGGCACTTCGATACAGATAACCTGTGATCGGTACTTTCTGCTTTCCAGCAGCCTTCTAACGGCATGGCATATCTGGATATAGAATCTCAGCAACCGGGTTCAGACGAAGGTAAGCGATTTTGACAATACATTAGTGATTCTTGCATATTCTCCGGTGCCAATGCGAAAAGGTTTTAGAGAGGAATGTTTTAGTGCGTCATACGCGGGGTTGTGTGTGTGTCTGAAAGTGAGCTAATATATTTTTTTTCTTTTTCTTCACGAATATTCATCATTACAACAGATACATATATCGATGAACACGATGGTAAATTTTAATCTGTTGATGTTTTCACAAATGTTATTTCAATTATAAAACGGAAAACAAGTGACAAAAAAGTTTGACTCCTTCATAAGTTCAACAAACTATCCAGTAATATATTTCTTTATTTGCAATTATCTAACCATCAAATATGGAACGAGAGGTGCTACAACAGCATATACTTTCTTTCAGTATTGAAAATAGTTACGTAATATTAAAATATTGTAATTTCCGTCATACTGAAAACTCTGTTATAACAGGAAAATAACAAATTCTAAGGAAGCGCCTCTCGTTCATATCTGCATTTATTTCGATTGCCAGGAAAAGTAATAATTTATTTCTTTTGGAAATGAAACAAAAATAAATAAATTTACCTTTTTTAAGATAAAAAATAAACGGTGTTTAAACATCTTTATCACGTAAGAACTGTTTTTTACTCTTAACTATAATCGATTAAAAAACACCTTAAAGAAGATGTTTTATGTAAATCGAATGCGGCTGTACGCGTACTGTAGGGGTATTAATATTAAAAGATGTTCAAGAATGAGAAAAGAAGAACTTATGTAAACGAACATCAACACAAAAATACATTTCTTTTTCATAATAAATTTTCGTTAAATAAACGTTTATAAAGTTAAAGGAGCGTGTAATAAGACAATTGTCGATAGAAGATTTACTTTAAATAATAACCATCATAATTTAGAAAATTAAAAAAATATTCGCACGAAATTGCATGATTTAATTTCATTTGTATTGCAATATCAATGAATTATCAACTATCACAAGATATTTTAAACAAAGGATTAGGAAATAAACCAAAGATATGAAAATTTAAATACATTAAAAGAGATATTAAATTATGTAATTTGTTATAGATAGGTAAAATATGATATATATCAAAGTATTATTGTTAATAAAAATCATCAAGTTATATCTTATGATCAAAAACCGTGATTAAAACATTGTATTGATAAAAATACAGACTGCGACATGCAAATAATGATTTTGAAAAGATTTCATCAAACTTATGAATAAAATATTGGACATTATGATAGTTCCGGATATCTTTTAGAATCTATACCTCAAACAAACAATAAAGTACCAGTAAAATTTAATATTGAGGTATATCAATTCGACAATTTGTAGGATTAAGATAAAAAATGTATGCATTTAAAACAGATTATAATGGTAAATCAAGGTATGTAAAAGTATTAGAAAACAAAATATTGAGAAAATGAAATTCGATGTGTATAAACACACATTATTGAATGATGTAGAGACGTATGAAGATCTGTATAATATTGTATCAAAAGAATATACACTATATACAATAAAAAATAGAAAAGTTGGTCTAACACAATATGATATGAGATACTTAGTCGATCATATTAATTCACTAGCTTATAGATTTCAATACTGATTGTGTATATCTCGTTTTATTTTTCAAATAGTATTTATTCACCATGCATCCACATGAATATTGTACTTTTAGTCCTATACATTGTTTACACTCATAAGTATGTCCATCTTCTCTAGTACTATTATTTGTATAAAATTTATTGAATTGTTTTTCTATTTTACAGATAGTAACACTTTTTTTAATTTATATAATATTATTCTATGAATATCTTTTTGTTGATAAAGTGATGTGTAAATTTCGATCACTGATTCACCACATTCACAATCTACTCTTCTAAAAGTGTCTCTATTTTTAATGTAATACATTTGATAATAATTCTCCATTATTTATATACATAAAAAATTACAATTTCAAGTACGTATGTGAATATTAAAAATTGTATATTAATACAATTAAGAAGTTTATATACTCAAAAAGACCTGTAATTCTTCACATGTGGTTTTTTTTATATTCTAAATAATTTGAAAAAATGCTTACATTTAAGATTAAATAAAGGTGAAATGCAAGCAGTAATAGGAAGAATAAAATCTCTAAACACTATTCTCCATATACATCGTTGTCGTATACAGGATATGAAAATTTAACCCTTTTAGTACAAATTCCAGCATTGTTTTTCCAATCTTCAAATCATTTACCATAACTTCACAACACCGCGTTGCATTGTAATAACCAGTTGTTCTATCAACAATCAGTCTCAAATTGTAATAATAACAATTATAAGAGTAATTTTTAATTGATACATAGCTTACATCCATTTATTAGAACTATTTTTATTACACTATTTCTTTATCGATCATATTTGATTTGTTAATCCATGAAATATGATTTTGATCAAATCCTAACCATATTACATACAATTTATTTCATTTTGTTTTTAATACTTTTTTAATTAAATAAGAAATCAGGATATTTTGTATTTTGTAATTCATATTCCTGAAACGAACCATGAATATCTTTAGATTATAAGCAATAGGGTTAGAAAGAATGATATTATCGATTTCAAATACTTCTATAGACCAATTACCTGTATATGATTTATCACATACTGATTTTAATTTACTTACCCTTACTTTATCACCAATTTCGAATTTCGGTAAAATAAATGTCTTATGTCTTTTATAATATTTATTTGGAGGTTTTGAGGTTATACGTACTCAGAACGTTTTGACATACGAGCGCTATTTGTGTTGTTTACAGTAACTTAAAAGTTTCATCTTGGTCCAAAAATGAAATTAAATCGTGTACATTTTCGTGCGATTATTTTTTACAACTTTCGACATGGATTAACTCACCAACAGTGCATGGATGAACGTAATTCAATTTGTGGCGATGAAACTCCATCAAGGACCAGTGACTATCGATGGTATGG